GCACAATGTAGTCTCCCAGGCACCAAGTCTTTTTCTCCTCTTTACAAAATCACGGCTGCACATAAGGACCTAAGGGTGTGTGCAGGAGGTAACTGTGTACAGATACAGAGGTGGCATTAGCTACCTCCTGAGGGACCTGGAATATAACTCGACGCGTCGAATATCATAATCTGTCATGTTCAGGGATTTTACTCAGAACTACTTTGGGATACCTATCGAGGGGTGGGGGAAAAGAACTGGAAACTCATGCTTTCTTTAAAAGAGAAAAAAAAATAAAGAAAAAAAAGCAAGAGAAGTTCAAAATATGCTTGATCTAGCTGTACCTGGTGAGTGGAGAGGGAATCTAATTCGAGTGGTTGGAGGTGAGGACTTGACCCAAAGACCGTGTGTGGTTCCCCATTCTTGGAGGTTGTTCCTCACTCTTGATGCTGATAATCCTTTCCTCCGTAGTGGTTAGTGATGGGCTCCATGTCCAGAATGCTGAGCTTGCAGTCCTTGGGCTCCGTGCTCCCACCGGATTCCCTTGTTCCACTCGCTCTATATGGTACCACAGCAACCTTCCCTTTATGGAGGATTAGTTCCCTTYGAATTTTGCCAGTGTGAAGAACAAAAAGACCGTTGGAAGAAGCAGAATTGATGAGAAGTTTGCATCCTCTCTTTGTTGGGAAAGCATGAGACCTTTTCTCTTCAGATTTGATATACAGGATCACCCCAGACTGGGCTCTTGGCCAACCTGAAGTCTCTGTGAGACACCACCTCCTGTCAGAGTGTCACTTAAACTTGTTTTTTCTTTCTTTTTGCCTCAGCAGAGGCTGTTGTTAGTGATGAGAGCTGGCATTCATCCAGTGTTTCCTATCTGCAAACCACCCTGGAAGTTGTATTTTTGAAGACACTATGGAATGAACTAAAATAGAGAAAGTTGGCTAGTTTGGGAAAGAACCCCCAGATACTAATTTCCCTTTGTGTAGATCTAACAATATATTTTGAAGAGACAGAGGCAGGAGATGCCCTGTGATCTCTGGAGTTTCAGTGGGCTCCCTTTGCATGCGTTATCTTTCAAGAAATTCCTTATTTCTGTGAAAAGCTAGAAGTATGTGCTTTTCTGAGGCTAGATTCTTCCTCAGGAATATCTTATTTTGCAAATATTCCCTTTGAAATCAGGGGGACTAATTGCAGCATAATGTGGTTTTGCTTTTTGTTTTCAGAGCCAGGGAATATATTTCACTCTGTCTTATTTATTTATTTATTTTGCAATCAAATTCCCATCCCATAGAAAACAGCTGTTGATACCTGCATGTGCTTTGCTCTATGAATAATTCAAATCAAGATTTGATTTAAAGCTTGCGGCGTTTAACGCCAGTCAACGGAATAATTATGTGATTGGTGCTGAGGGAAACCAGCATATATATTAAAGGAAGTGAGGAGCCAATGCTAAAAGTTAGATGAGCAAATTAATTATTGCTGCCTCTGGTGACATTCAGTGACCTTGTGGCAAAGTTTGTGACTGTCAGACTGATGTGTGGGTGTTAAAAGGCAGAAGGGGAGAAGAGCTAATTTCTAAAATTAGGTAATTTCTATTTCTAAATATTTCTAAATATTTCTATTAGCTAATTTCTAAAATACCCAAAACCTTGCAGGTTGCTCTCGGTAGAACTTGTGGCACTTTCAGCTCCTTCAAATATAAGTGCACATTATTTACTATGCCAGTTGTGAAATGTTATATTTAAAGATTTTTAASTACTACCTTTTTAAATGAAATTACTAGAAACAGTGGAAGGGGAGAGAGTGCCCAGAAAGTTTCTTCATTTTCTCGAAGTACCAGCTTTGATGAGTTTTTAAGCAAACCAAAGTTTAATGAAAAATCCAATTCTTACTAAGCTGTGCTATTGGTCTCTGAGGCTGTCACTGTTTGTAATAGATTATGGGAACAATGTCATTGAACTGGATTCCCCTTTAATATGTCACAGTTGAAAGGATGATAAAAAAAAAATCACATTCCAGAGAGCTTTTTGATTGTAATAACTTTAATAACTTTAAATTAAGTTATGGATTTATGTTAAAATGGCTGAAATTATGAGGTCCCTACATCACAAAGTACTGCAAAAATCATTAAAATGACTTTGCTGGGCTGATGGATTACGGATGAGATGAACACTGGCCTATTGCTAAAAAAGTGAACCCCATTAAAATAATAATTTTAATAACTTTTTAAATGGTTACCATTCAGCCAGTTAGATAATAAAGAAAAAAAGAAAAGGGGAGGAAGTGAAGAAAATGTTTTGAACCTTACCAAGCTTTCTCTGGTCTTATTTCATTTCCAAGTACTTACAATGTAAAGTTAAAACTTGCAGGTATTGCTGTCATAGATTTAAAGTTAAAGGCCATAAGGGTTATGATGCGTGCCAGGAACTAAGAAACGTTGTCTTTTCTATTTTGGAGATAGTTTTAAGAAATTTTAACCTGGTGTTCGATCTTCCAAAGCTTTCTACGTGCCAGGTCCATTCCCTTCCATGAACTGGTCTTCCTGAATGTGTATTTAGACTGAGTAATTAACTCTGTCAGCTTTCAACTTAGCAGTTTTATATTCCTGTTACAATGTCAGGGTTATATGTCCTCATATTAAGACATCTACAGATGTATAATTAGGCTTTTTTTTCCAGCAAACCAGCTAATTGTGATGGTTTGAACACTAGTGATAAAGTGAAATTCAGAMGGGCATTTTGAAGACTAAATAAGTTGAAATAGTTTACTAGACTAAATAAGTTGAAACAGATTACTATAGTTTTGAAAGGCTAACGAAGAGAAACAAGTAATAAAGAGATGTCTTTGCATGTATTTGTGGCATGTATTTGTGTCCCTTCTAGATCTCCACGGAAGTTTCCTCTTTGCCATCTCCTGCACGTGGTGTTGATGTTCTCCAGCCCCTCTCCTTGCTTGCTGAGATTCCCATTCCCTGTCCAGCCCATTTTGTTGGAGCAGCAGCTTCTCGACGTGAAGGGCACGTCGGCCCTGTGCTGAAGCATCAGCATTGCCTGCAAGGGCAAATGCAGATATTTGATTTAAAGCAGGGCTGATTTGCCCAGAGATGCTGATGAAGAGCACATAATGGCAAGCCATATGGCTGGAAGCCTTCACGCAAACTGGATTTCATCAAAAAGTGGTAGATCTGATTGTTGCCATTTTCCCAAATATCTCTATCACGTTCAGAGAATCTGTAGTGTTTGCTGGGCAACTCCTGCTCACTTTTGGGACAGTAATTACACCTGCTGTTCCTAGTGCTGCCGTGTCAGATAAGTATATGCTTATAGCAGAGGGATATTTTGTGCTGCCATTAGGGCTATCATGCAAAAACCCATGAATAATGGCTCTACAGGAGAGACTTGACAGACAATTATCTGGCTGTACATACCAAGGTGAATGCAATTGGTCTTGTAATGTCTCTGGCGAGAAATTTTGGTGCCTTTGAGCCTTCAGTTGCCATAAAGTGAAATTACTGCAGTAACTTTTCAGTACAGTGCTAAAACTCTTTAACAGTTTGCTATGTTTTGCATTTCATTTTTGACCATATTCATCCTTCAGGCATTACTGGATTGGGACTTTTTTAAAGGACCCTGCTTTGTGGACTAATTATGACAAATGTTGACATGACAGCTGTTGCTTGCTTGAAATTACCTCTTAGTCTGTTGGAATTCATCTTGAAGGCATTTTTGTAATGATTTTTTTTCCATGAACATTAATAAAACCTGTGGGAGATCTGAATAAAAAAGAAAATCCACCAGTCCTGCCAAGAGGATGGCTTATGTGCCAGCTGCCTTTTTGTTGTTGTTATCCTGCTTTCTGTGATATTAATACAGCCRGCTTCCAAGGCACTTAAATATATAACAGGTTGTTATATTATGGAAAATCTCTCCTTGGGAAGAGTCATTTATAGGACTTGCTTCCTGAAAAAAAAAAACTTTCACGATCCAAAAGTTGCTGCATTCAACTGAACCTCATGTTCTTCATAGGATATTGCAGTGGTTTATCTTGTAGATATATCTGCCCCTGAATCCAACATCAATGTGTAGTTTCTGGAGTTACCTTTCTTCTGTCTGGTCTGTGACAGAGCAGAGGGCTTTATTCCTGTATTCTAGATGAGATTTCCCTTGTAGCTATTTGGGTGACATCTGGTAATTTTTTAGTACCTGCCTTATCAATGTTTCATCTACTCTGTTTCATTCAAAAGTTGTAAACATAGCTAATTAAATCATGTGAAATGTTGGTAATAATTCTACACATACATGAAGGAAATCCTGTCAGTTTTTCCTAAACTAACTTTGTGTTAATGTAGGGCTGTCACAGTTTCTCTACAGATGGATGCAAGATGCACAGCAGCTGGTGAATATTAGCTTTGGGAAACTGGAATGCCTGTTTTGAGATGGACTTTTGAGAGTTTGGAGGGCAGTCCAGAGAAAAGAGAGCCTTAAGAGAGTCCTGCGGTAATAGTGAAGTTGCTCCAAGTTTGTGTGGATGGCCTTGATCAAAACAAAGCCCTTACCATGTAGTGGTTATTGAGCCTCAATGAGGACAAAATTTCTGTAGTCTTCCTCTGGCACCCAGAATTAGGGAAATTCCTGCCGAACAGRTTAAGGTTTGCACCTGATACAGTATTTGGTAATGCCAGGTTGTGGTATTGGTAGGACATGGCTAGAAGAAATGAGTTTGCATGAGTATAAAACCAATTACTCATCTTTGTTGGGAAATAAGTGGGAAGTATTTCCTTYCTGGTTTGCTAGGAGGGAAGAAAGTAGGAAATGTTTCCTTTCTATTTTGCCTTTATGATGGTAATACAGACATTTCAGGAGACTTATTTCATAGATGGGCTTAACGCTACTGATTATTTTGAGCACTTTTTATTCTCTATGGAGATCTTTTTCTTATTCTGTTCGTTTAATTCGTCGAAGTGATCGTACCCAATGCAATCAAGAAAATCTGATGCCATTTTGCATTTATCCCCCCAGAAATACCTCCGGAGCTTTTTCTCTGCAATGCTGAGTTCTCCGTCCTCTCCCCTGCACCTCGACAAGGTGGGGCTGACCCTGTCCAAGCACACCATTTGTGAGTTCTCCTCCTTCTTCAGGAAAGGTGTTTTTGACTATAGCAGTCATGGGACCAGCTAACTTTTGTGCCAGGTGAGAGGAGCCCAGCGCGGTGCCTTCCCTGTGGTGGGAGAGGAAAGCAGAGGGAGAAGAAAAGGCARCTTCACCCACGCCTGCAAACTCTCATCAGGACTTCTCCGCTCGAGGACACATGTGCCCTGACACTGCTCTGCTCTCTACCAGTTCTTYGCTTAGTGCCTGCATTTTACTGGCATGGGATGTACGGACTTTATTTTTGGTTTGTGCTGTTAATAATGTACAAAACTTCAGACTCGTAGGCTCGTTAGTGGGAGCCCTTCCTTTCCACTTGCTCAGACAATTCGCTGTGATCGTGCAAGAGCAGCTCCTGTTTCCTGGGCCTTTCAGTTCCTCTGCACACTGTTCCTTGAAGAATATTGCAATTTTGTAACCTTATAACATCCTGGATGGCATTTAAGCTCATGCTCCATGGTTTTTTTTCTTTTTTTTCTCCCTGGAGATAAATTTTATCTATTTGACTGTATAGTTTTCCTCAGAATTAAAGGGCCGCAGTGACTTGATTGTTTACAAAATATGTACAAACAGAAAGAATATAATTTAAATCCTGTAAAAGTCTTCCACACGTGATTCTTTTGAAGCAGAATGAAACACTTCCCGTTAATTAAACAGTAAAGGAAGCAATAGTTACTGCAGAATGCAGTCAGTGTCTTTTCATGTGTTCTAATTACTTAGAATGTAACTGGATACTGTGCCCTGTACAGAGCTCAGAGCTATGCAATAGCCTAATGCAAAGTGCTATATATATATATATGTATGTATGTATGTTTTGGGTTTTTTTTTTTTGAAATATATCTTCTTCACAACAGCGGAACACTGTAATGCCTGAGTTTTACCTGCATCATTTAAAATTTACAGGATTTTACTAACACTATGTTAAAATTACTCAGGACTCATTCATAATTGCACATGTATATACAGATAGAACTSATTTTGTATCACTGTGGATCCAAAAGAAATATACACTGTGACTGGAATTGGGTACATGTACATGTTTATGTATAATTGGTTGTATAAAAATCAGAATCAAGCAACTTTCGGGTATTAAAAAGCATAATGAAGTGTGGGTTTTGTGTGCCGTTTGTGGGGAATATTAAGCATCGTCTGTGAGTTGCCCTCACTTGGCCCTGGTAGGTCTTAATAATCAGACTATTTCCTGTTATTGAGGATGATTATTAAAACCTTACCTGACAGCAGTGATAATACTTTTGACATATACATGGCATACATTATAGGGACAGTAATGATTTTTCATATAATGTGATAAGTAAAGACATTTGGTTTCAATTRAAAAGCTAAGCCTGATGGACTAAGAATTTCAAATTTAAAAGAGGGGAAAAAAAGTTATTACAATGATTTTTCTCTTATTTTGGGGAGTATTTTGGTGATTTTGATGTGAATCCCTCCATACGTGTCCATGCATAGGGGCAGAAATTGGCCATGGTATTGCTGGTCTGCATATCAGCATGGGAGCTCTGCCCCTAAATCTCACTTCAAAGCCAGAAGATCTTTCCATTCTCTCCACACTGTTGGCCTGCTCCCCCTTCCTTCCATCCCACCACAATGCAGCATGATGAAGAATTAACATGAAAGAGTTCAAAAAAGGAGTTTTGCTTGACTTTCTCCACAGCATTATATCCTTCATGCCGCTTCTATGAAAGCACCTGGCAGGCCAGAAAAATGGCAGGCAGCTTTTGGTGCTGCGCAGAACCAATTTCTGCAAATTTCCTAGCTGGAAAAGGAACCTAAGCGGTGCCAAGCCTTTAGCCAAGAGCTTTCCCAGGGCGAGCACAGCAGAACCTGGCAAGGGAACCTGTTGTGCTCCACGGAAAACATTGTGCCCCGTGGGTGAGCGTGCCCAGCTCCTAGGGGGAAGCCACATGCTTCGTGTCGCTTTGCATTTGGAGAACTTGTTTTGAAACAGCCCAGCTGGTCAGAGGGTTAAGCACGAATGAAAACCAGAATATCTGTATTTTTCCCATGAATTCAAAACATGGCTAGTACGGGGTTCTTGCCCACAGTCTGAATTTCAGAGAGGACCAGGTGCTCTGGTGGTATAAATCTACCAATAAGGTGGCTAATTTATGCTGGCTGGTTTGTCTGGCCTGCAGCGTTATTGCTAATAACAAAGTAAAGGCTGATTAATTACTCCATTTAAAATGTCATCAAGTTTAAAGCTACAGAAATACAAGTGTAAGCAGGCAATTAGGACCACAACCCCAAACTACCAGCTTTTCTCACCTTCTTACCATGTATCATTCAAAGAAATCCAGAGTTTCATCAATGAATACAAGCTAAGGCTAGACTAAGAGAATTATTTTGTAATAGTATCTGTAAGAACGTGCTGGTTATTTATAGCCTGCAGTCTTTAAACCCAGACTGTGTCTTCATAAGAGGCTGTCAATAGACGTTGAGGTGCATGTTGAAATTATTACCCATCTGCTATAAGTCCAAACTACCTTCCTGTAAAAAGTTCTACTGCCATTGCAGTTCTCCATGAATTTTATTTTCAAAGTATTATCAGCTGCAAAAAATGTAATGAAAGAGTCAAGGACTGCTACTTTTTTTTGTTTGTTTTGTTTTGTTTTTGTAGAGTCTCTATAATTAAGCTTCTGAGATTTACATCGGCAAAATCCTTAGGTAAATGCTTAACTTCTGCATTGGGACTATGCATCTTCTAGACTAAATGCATGTTTAATTGCTTTACAGAACTGGGGCCGTGGTTCTTACCTTTGTAACTGCAGTTGTGCCTCCATTTGATGCATCAGACCATTTGGTTTTTATCTTTGCTGACTCTATACCAGTTTTTCACCAACAGGGATGCAGACTTTGCCATTTGCTGTCCAGAGAAGCTTTGTCTTTATCTCATATCTTCTGTGATAAAGCTTGTAATTTTACCTGCTGTCAACTTTCTTCCTTATCTTTTACCGAACCCCAGAATTGTAGGAGATAAATTATTTCAGCTTCCCCAAGCTTCTTGTCTTTCAATTAGTCCAGCCCTGTGGTTCTTTTCTCTCTATTTCATTGGACCTGAAAATATATATGATTTTTGATAAGCCAAATTTTGTTGCCTTCTAACCACATCATGGGACATTGCATAGGGTCCTTCACAGAAGAGTTTTTCTGAGCAATTAAGACCTCTGGAGTTGCAGTGGGCCCTAAGATCCCATTAAAAGACTGAATTCCTAGTGTATCCTCTTGGCACAACTACAAGTTAATTTTTGATGTACCCCTTTCCACCACTTTTTTATTGTTAGTTGTTGACTACAGAACACAATGCTTTTGTACAGAATGCTGCTGTAGACACACTTTTTCATAAATGATTATTTTCTTCTTAAAATAATGACAATAAAGTCAATGAGAAAAAAGGAAAAAGCAGCTAGGAAAAATGATCCGCTTTTTGTGTTCATAKAAGCAATAGAAGTTGTCCAATTGGACAAAAATATCAGATCAGAAAAATCATATATATTCTCTTGTCTTCTAGAGGTTTAATTTTTTTTCAAGCTTTAAGGGGAAAAAATGTTTTCTAAAGGGATCTCATTAATGTTCGATAAAATGGAGGAAAGCTTTTTGGAACAGTGGATTTTGTCTCCGGTGCATAAAAAGTCTTGGCAGCAAAAAAAAAAAAAAAAAAGAAAAAAAAAAAAAAGAAAATGCTGTGGGCAGTCAGGAAGTCCTGTTCTTTATTTCCATTTTCTTATAATTTTTCTTTTCATAAATACCCTCGTTTTTCTCCCCTGTCATGCTGACAGCTGAGGAAGTGTCAACTCCCTGTAGTCTGGCTTGTGTGTTCAGGCAGAGTTTAAACAGWATTTTGTTGTTGTTTTTAAGAAATTGGTGTTGAATTCTTAAAGCTCTACAGACTTTTTGAGGTCCTCTGCAGTTTSTCTTGATGGCTTCTTCTCTCTTTACGTAACAGTTCTGCTCGAATAGCTTGTTCTCATGCTTCGTAATTTTAGAGTATTTCCCTTCTGTTTTCTTGTTTTACAAGACTTGGAAGAATCTACTGAGGAGATTTGAAGATTAAAAAAGAAAATCATCACTGAACAAAGGTGGTTTTATCATCTTCTGATGGGGAAACTTCTGATCTAGAAAAGTGGAACACAAGTTCTTTGATCTTTTTACGTATTTTGAACTTCTGAGTCTTCAAAGGTCTCTGGTGCTGCAGCTTTTGGGGGTACTGTTGCACTGTTTCATGCTTGTTCCTGTGTTCTTTTCCACTGTAATTAACATTAGACATGAGACTTCCTTCAAAAGACGTGTTTGAGAAAGGGAGCCTTCTACAGACGGATGCTGCTTTGAAGAGATAGGCTGGGAGGAGTTTAGGTCAGGAGCTCCTTGTTGGGCTTCTGCTTTTGTCAGCCTTGGGTATCACTGTATTTTCTCCATGTTAACTTGTTTAATTTTTGCCTTGAGTGTGCTCAGTGTGGTTTTTTATTTCCTTTGTTTCGCTAAGGTATGGATTAGAGATGATTGATTGTGGCCAGTTTGAGATCACATTCTGCAAAAATCAAGAGTTATTTATTAAAAAAAAAAAGTGTGTTAAATCAGTAATCAGATTACATCAGAAGTCAACATCTCAAAAATGAGGAAAAATAAAACAAATATAGTGTGACTCAAGAAGTCCCAAGGTGTTTTGAGGACTTCTGCATCACTGTTCTCTTTTATTCCTATATCTGGACAGCCAGGAGATGTATGGGCTGGGCTGGACGTGTTTCCTTTTTCTTTTTTTTCTCTTTTTTCTTATGGTGCAAGTGAATATAATAATGAGAGTTTCGGGAACTTTTCTGTGGAAACTGAAATCTTGTGAGCTTCAAGCCGCTTGTTCCTGCTGAGTTCCCTTCCTTAGGGAGGAATAACAATATTCCTCCCTAAGGAATATCATTAGTGCAGCGTGGGCAAAAGAAATTGCCAGCTCTGGGAAGAAAGTGCTTCCAAGAGGTGCCAGGGATACCCTCTCTTGTGCTGATCATATAAGGATGATTGGCAACGTGTAAAATCAGCTCTCAGAAAGGCTTCCAAGCTGGATGTCCTCTTAACTCCAGCACCTTCAACCATAGGCCGGAGCTCAGGTTTATGTGTTCAGACAAAACTGCATCTCGACGTCTTAATGAAGATGTTGATTCTAAACTTCCTCTTGTGGCAGTAGAATGGGGGGTTATATGAAAAGCAATGGAGTTGCAAGAAAACTTTAAAATCAATGTGTTTGTTCTAAGGATACATATATTACGGATCTTTATTTGCTGTAACGGTAATATTTGCAGTAATAGTGTTGTCTGCTGTACTGGATGGAACCAGAAGTGCTCAAACATAGCAAGCCCACCAGCAGGCAAGAGCCTCCCCTAGCCCAACACAGAAGGATTTCACTCTGTTGTAATAAGAGTGCAAGGTTTTAGTGACGAGAAACACTGARGGCTTCCCCGTTGTACCATGGGCTCTCCTGGTAACCTGCATTTTGGTCCACGTGAAGTCAAATCTTGGAAAACCAGCAAGGACAGCACTGCCGTGGGTTGGTTGGTTTTGCACACAGAGGGGATCAGAGCTGCCGTTTGCCTTTTCGGTGCCTTATTCCCAGTGAAACTTGGCGCTCCTKCATCCCTGTGGCTGCCACACAAGCACCAGAAAAGCTCTGTGATTTCCCAGTGTGCTCCCCATTACTTGTGCTGAACCCTTTTTAACATAAATGATGTTTCAGCTGCAGTGGTCTTGAATGTTAAATGTGTCTGTTGTGTTGAACTCTTTAAACTCCCTAGGTATAATATTTCTTACTCTTGTATTTTATATAAGGGTAAAAACCCTTATATATTGCCAGAGATTTGGGGGGGGGATAAAAAATGAAGTATCTGTTTTCATATTTCCTCTCTGTTCCTCCTGTTATTAGGTTGAAAACTTCATTGTTTTCACCTTCCACAGAGAAATGCACCTTCAAGGACAATTTTACASTCTGGTTGGTCTCCAGGTAACCTAAATTTTTCATTCCCTTATTATTAAACCTATGCTTGTAGCTGAAACTGAACTCGCATCCCATTTCAGATTAACCCCTCAGTGCAAAATGTCAAGG